CGGGAAGTGCGGCGGGCGGGCTGCGAAGCGGGCAGCGGGGCGAGCGGGCGACGCGGCGAGCGGGCAGCGCGGCGGGCGGGCTACGAAGCAGGCAGCGGGCGGGCGGGCGACGCTGCAAGCGGGCAGCGGGCGGGCGGGCGACGCTGCGAGCAGGCAGCGCGGCGGGCGGGCTGCGAAGCGGGCAGCGGGCGGGCGGGCGACGCTGCAAGCGGGCAGCGAGGCGGGCGGGCGACGAAACGGGCAGCGGGCGGGCGGGCGACGCTGCAAGCGGGCAGCGAGGCGGGCGGGCGACGCTGCGAGCGGGCAGCGCGGCGGGCGGGCGACGCTGCGAAGCGGGCAGCGGGCGGGCGGGCGACGCTGCAAGCGGGCAGCGGGCGGGCGGGCGACGCTGCGAGCAGGCAGCGCGGCGGGCGGGCTGCGAAACGGGCAGCGCGGTAGGCGGGCGACGCTGCGAGCGGGCGGCTCGGCGGGCGGGCGACGCTGCGAGGGGCGCGCGAGGGCGCTAACGAGAGGCGCACGAGGGCGCTAACAAGGGCGCGCGAGGGCGCTAGCGAGGGCGCGCGAGGGCGCTAACGAGAGGCGCGCGAGGGCGCTAACGAGGACGCACGAGGGCGCTAACGAGGGCGCACGAGGGCGCTACGAGGCTAGGGCACGGGGTAGCGTGGTAACCGCATGCGAGCGGTGGTGGGCCCTTAAAAAACGGTCGGTAGGTCCTAGGGACCTCCTGCTCTGAATACCATGTGAAAAGAACTAGGCAAGAATGATGCATTGAATGAAACAGTTGGGTACAAGTAGCAAACCCTAGTTAGGGTTGTACCCCATATTGGCTACCCCACTACAGCCTACCAACATATAACACATTACAATTTAACAATCTTTTCTCGACTGCGTGCGCTCGAAACCCTCATACTGGAAGATGCGACAAGATTGCGTGAGCTAATCGAGGCTCTTGAGCATATGTGGCGGCTCAAGACTTTAGCTATCAACCGCTGCAGCGATATCATGTCTCTGCCCGAGTCTCTTTTCCACCTGCCGTCACTCACCAGCCTCGCTCTAGATATGCCACAACTTTCAATACTACCTGACGATATTGGGCGGTTATCAATGCTACAGACACTTTTGCTGGAACTGAAGAAGCTCACAAGCCTTCCTGACCCCGTCGCTCAGATTACTATGCTCCAAGAGCTTTTCCTCGACAATCTTTGGAAGGTTCCGTCTTTGCCTGAGGATTTTGGGCAGCTGATTGCTCTTGAAAAGCTGCGCCTTAACAGCCTTCGCCAGCTCACACGCCTGCCTGAATCCCTAGGGCAGCTGAAAGCTCTCCGGGAGCTGAAAATAGTGGAGTGTGAGAAGCTGCAGCAGCTCCCGGACTCCCTTTCCCAGCTCTCTGCTCTCGAGCACCTGGAGATTACTGCTTGTTGGGACCTCACAGTGCTGCCAGATGAAATGGGAAACGGTATGCAGCGGCTGCGGTGTCTGCATCTGGAACACTGCTCATCCCTCACCCACCTCCCTCCATCCTTCTCCGCCCTGACATCTCTCGAAACCCTTAAGATTATGGAAGCTAGTTGCTTCAGAGGCAACCTACTAGACGGCTTCTGCTGCTTGAAAAGCCTCAAGAGCTGGTGCTTCAAGGAATGCCACGCTTGGCTGCCCTTCCCGCCTCCTTTTCTGGCGTTTTTTCACTCACCAGCCTTGAAGTGATACGTTGCCCTGAGGGGATCGGACGGCTGGAGTCGCTCGAGGTGGTCAGGATCTCACTGATTGACGGCTTGAAAGGACTCCCTGCTGAGCTTGTTAGGCTGCCACTGCTGCGGGTGCTGGAAGTGCGGGGATGCAGTGAAGTTGGTGCGCTTCTTGGGGATGAGATAGTGCTCAGACGCACTGCCAGGGGTTCTTCAATGATCTCCAACAGCACCAGCAGCAGCAGCAGCACCAGCAGGGCACTGCTTCCATCCCTCGAGAATCTCAGGATAAAAGCTCTCTCTTTTCATTCCATCGGTCCATCCCTTGGCCAGCTCTCCTCTTTAACGCAGCTGAAGCTCCTGGAGATGCATGACCTGGTGTCACTCCCTGACTCCATCTCTCAACTCGCGCGCCTGAAAAGGCTCCGGATTGATTCCGCCATGCGGATGGAGACACTGCCGGAAACCTTGGGAGGGCTTTCAAGGCTGCGTGTGTTACTGCTGGTTCGGCTATGTACACTACGGCAGCTGCCGGAGTCTATTGGGCAGCTGAAGATGCTTGAGAGGCTGGAGATTATTGACTGCTACAAGGTGATGCAGCTTCCAGGTTCCTTTGCGAATCTGGCCAAGTTACAATCCTGTACCCTGGCCAAGCTTGGGATCTCAGGGTTTTTAGATGATTTCTGGAAGCTTTCTTCCCTCCAGGAGTTGGTGCTCTTGGGGCTGAAGCATGTCCGCAGCTTGCCAGAGTCGTTCTCTAAGCTGCTTCAACTAGTGGTGCTGCGGGTGATTGCGTGCAACAAGCTGGTTCGGCTGCCGTCTTCTATCCGAAGAATCCCGACGCTGCGTGAATACTATGTCAGTGAGTGCCCTTTGCTCTCCTGGCGAGACAGAAGGGTTCCTGCAAGGATAGGCGAGGAGGATGGGGGGGAGGAGGAAGAGGGAGAGGAGGCAGAAGGGGAGGAGGGAGGAGATGCGGCGGCGGAAGGGGAAGAGGCGGACACGGAGGAGGAGGAGGGGGATTTTGGGAGTGGTGGAGAGGATTCAGAGATCAACCATGAGTATGGCTTGGACAGCGAAGATGACAGGGACGACTTTCCAGTCTTCTGGAGTGCGTGTTGACATGAAGAGGGGAGTAAAATGGTGGTGAGGGAGGAAGTGGGATCGTGGTATTAGAATATATATTTATATATATTTATGTACCTGCCTGTAGCTGTAGCTTTAGTGTAGTTATAAACTCTTTGTATTGGTGGTGCACCTCCTTTGTCTCCTATTTGTACCCTCGAGCCTATAGTGAACCCCCCTTCTTTCTCGACATTCCACTCTCTCGCCACTCTCCTAGGTTCCTAACCTAGCCTAGCTTCTTGACATGGTACAGAGCAATAATCGGTCCTAAGGACCTTTTTTTTTTTTTTTTAGGATCATGGGTCCCGCGTTTCGCTCTCTGCAGGCCCCACTCGATTCGCGCTCCGAAGGCATACTCGTCGCGCCCCGTGCGCCCTCCTTCCCGTCGCCCGCGGCCCCCCCGTTTCGTCGCCCCGCGGCCCCCCCGTTACCGTCGCCCGCGGCCCCCCGTTTCGTCGCCCCACGGCCCCCCGTTCCCATCGCCCGCGGCCCCCCGTTCCCATCGCCCACGGCCCCCCGTTCCGTCGCCCCGCGGCCCCCCCGTTTCGTCACCCCGCGGCCCCCCGTTCCCGTCGCCCGCGGCCCCCCGTTCCCGTCGCCCGCGGCCCCCCGTTCCCGTCGCCCGCGGCCCCCCGTTCCCGTCGCCCGCGGCCCCCCGTTCCCGTCGCCCGCGGCCCCCCGTTCCCGTCGCCCGCGGCCCCCCGTTCCCGTCGCCCGCGACCCCCCGTTTCGTCGCCAGCGCGGCCCGCCAGCGCGGACGCCAGCGCCGTGGCCAGCCGCCTGTGCCACAGTCAACGCTAGCAGCAGCTACCGCCGCCCCGCCCCCCCCCCCCCGCCCTCCCTTCCGCGGCTTCCGTCGTGTGGGGGGGGGGGGGGGGGGGAGAAGGAGATGTGGGGGTGGCGGGTGTGAGCTGCCTGCAGCTCGTCCCTCCCCCACTCTCCTTCCCTCTTACTCTCTCCCTGCAGCACTTGTTGCTGTCGGGGAGAGGGGGGGGGGGGGGGGGGGGGGGGGAGAGATGCTAAGGGAGGGTAAGAGAGAGTGGTGGAACCAGTAGCCACGCATCTGCAGCTGCCGTCCACTGCTATGTGGCACCTACTTCTGCAGCCCCTGACGCTTCTCTCTCTTCGTTCGTCTTCTTTGCTGTTGAGCTGCAAACTAAGCGCGCCACAGCACATCGTCTTCGTTCGCTTTCTTTGCTGTTGAGCTGCAAACTAAGCGCGCCACAGCACATCGTCTTCGTTCTCTCTTTCTTGCCTTAGGGCTTGCTGCAGCTGTCTCTGCCACCACTGCACTGGTTGTCATTGCACTTGCCTCCTGTTGCTGCTTTCTCTGTTCGTGGTGTACCCATCCAGGAGTTGTTGCTGCACAAGCTCCTGCTGCAGGCAGTTATGGGGGAGTGTTAGAATATATATTTATATATATTTATGTACCTGCCTGTAGCTGTAGCTTTAGTGTAGTTATAAACTCTTTGTATTGGTGGTGCACCTCCTTTGTCTCCTATTTGTACCCTCGAGCCTATAGTGAACCCCCCTTCTTTCTCGACATTCCACTCTCTCGCCACTCTCCTAGGTTCCTAACCTAGCCTAGCTTCTTGACACGTGGACTGGTAGGAGGTTGTAATGGTCGAATGGAAAACTGTGGACTTACTTGGTGGGGGATGCAGTTTTGATCTACAGTGTTGATTGTTTCCAATTTTTCTGGTGTCGGGGCAGTGGTGTGTGTACCGTAACTCGTTTTGTGGTTTGCTTGTGAGTCTGTTATGCAAGCTTCTATTCCTTTGTTGTGTTGTGGCAGTTGTTTCTGAGTCTAGTCCAGTCTGTTGCACCAGTGCAATGTATGGTATGCTAAATACTGTCCATACTGTCCCGCAACAAGAAACTAAGGTGCGGTTGGGTGAAGGAGATACATTTACATGCTTCACAAAATTGCTATCCTAGTGTGGTGATTTTGCTGAAACAGAAGTAATCCTCCAGACCCGGCAGGACTCATTAACTTACATATTGGGTATTGTATCGCACTGCACTAAACTAGCGAATGGATATTTGCACTCTATTGCATCTACTAAGTGTTTGTGATGGGAAGTGGTTGAGACTTGTTCCATTTCAAGGCGTGAAGGTCCATCAGCTGGTAGGATACCATACATTGTGACATTGCTATATTGCTGCATTCAAATACATACATACATGCCTCTACGAAGAAGAGGTAGCAGAGTTGATAATGTCAACAAACTCAGGCTGCAAAAGGAAACAAAAACGGCAGAGTTAACTATGCTTTATCTTGAAACATGAGATCAGCTGCAGTGGATAAAGCTGGGGCAAAACGAAAGAGAGAAGAACCCAAGATACATACCTTGAGAGCAGCTCCACCAACAAGGAAGCCATCGACATCAGGAAGAGCGGCGAGCTCTTTGCAGTTAGCAGCGTTCACAGAGCCTGGAGGTCAGGCGCACAAAGGGAGAAATGGTAGCATATGAAGATTACGGCGACCTCATCTGTTAGCCAATGCAAAGGTCGTACCAAGTGAACCACGTGCACAGGGGCAAAAGGTAAACGCCAGAAAAGAATCGTCGACCATGCAAGCATTCCACACGGATCCCTCATACCAGCCATTCCCCCATGCGTGCTCTAATTCCACCCCCTCACCTCCATATTGAATCCGGATAGCAGCCGCCACATCAGGGCTGACGTTCTCAGCGATGTACTTGCGGATGTCAGCATGCGTCTGCAATCACAGTGCCACGCAGGGCATAAGCACCAGGAGGACAGTGTGGATATCATACGATTATGTTCCCTTTTTTTTTTCTCTCTCACAACACTTTGAATTTTTAACTAAATGTGCCAACTGCCAAACATAACTTTCTAGGATCCGATGCTAACCTGAAATAGAAATCACCGCTCACCTCCTGGGCTTGAGCAGGCGTCGCGACCTTGCCGGTACCAATGGCCCAGATGGGCTCATACGCGAGAACGACATCGTCCCACTTGGTGATCTTATCTGCATACGGAAAGAAAGAAACTTTTAATATTGCGACAGAGACCAACCCCAAACTATGCGGAAAGTAACGATCCTACTCGGGGGACGACGCGGATGGATAACAACGCAAGAAGAGAGCACGCAGCACACGGACCTGCAATGGCCTTGACTTGAGCAGATACGACAGCGTCTCGCCGCTCTCTCTCTGCTCCAGGGACTCGCCGATGCACGCAATGACCTTCAGGCCCTTGCTCAGGGCGTACGCGACCTTGTCCGCAACGAACTGCACGAAATCAAAGAAAAAGGCGTGAGAAGAAGTTTTTTTGAGAAGCACCAAGAACGACATCCCCAGTAGGGAGGTTGAAGGGAAGACGTGCGTGGAGAATCAGGGAGGCTGACCTCGTTGGACTCCTTGATGAGGGTTCTCCGCTCGGAGTGGCCAAGGATGACCCAGGGAATGTCGAGATCCACGAGCATTTCAGCGCTGAAATGGCGTAAGTGAAAGAAACGAAATGTTAGAAGTTAACCAGGAACGCAGACCTCATTTCAGACGAAGAATGCGGATGTGTTTCCTACCAAAGGGGGGTGGAAACAGGGTGGCGACATACCTCACTTCGCCGGTGAAAGCACCGCCCTTGCTGACCCAGGCGTTCTGAGCAGCGACAGCGAAATCCTTGCGCAGCTCGGCCTTCACGAGAGGAATGTAGACGGCGGGAGGAGCAATGACGACCTCTGCAAGAGACGGAACAACGTATCCAACGGCAGTGAAGGCGAGAATGTCAGCGAAGGATGGAAAGAACACCAATGATGGAAGCGGTTCCGGGATATTCGAAGCGCATGCAGTTTGAAGGAGTATTCATGAGAGACAGTATCTCATTTTGTTTACTCTTCTTCAAAGCACGACAACACGTACCGACGACATCGCCGCTGGGAACAGTGGCGGCGTTGAGCACCCCGACAAGCTTCTTGATAGACTCCTGGGTGCCGTTCTGTGAGATGTAACGAGGAATACGGTAATCTTAGTATCCGGATCTGGTGGGTCTACATGTGAACAGTAGCAATGGAAGGATACTTACGCACTTCCAGTTGCCTCCGACGATGAACTTACGACCCATGGTTATGACTAGAAGTGAAAGAGACTCGGAGGGAAAGCTTGGAAGGCAGTCGTCAGAGGCTCTACTGGTGTGAAGTCTGCTGACAAGAACTGGACAGAGATGTGTGAAAAGATTCAGAAGCTAGAATTGTTGCAAAATGAGATGAAGAATCTGTTTATCAGGCAGGCACATGCCTCCGCTTGCTTTGCCCAATACCCACCCACCATGAGGAGATTGTTGTCAACCAGAATAGAGAGATTCAGTGAGTTTCATCACGGTTTCGAACGGTTCTTCAAGAATTTTCGTTTTACGATGGAGCGAACCGAACAGAACCGTGACGTATTGAATGCGAATATGCTGCACACCTTTGCGTAACTCCTCCTTCTCCCGCTCATGCCACCGTGGCTGTGACAAGGCCAATGTGACCTGGCACTATGCGGCAGATCCAGCGCACCTTGGCGCGCCCAGATTCTGGGGCCGTATAGCGATCGTGGCAGCCACGATCAGCGAGCAACAGTTCCATGCGTAGTCAGCAATTATACTTAGTACATACAAAGCTCAGCTTAGGGATAAGAAAAGGCAGATAATATCAAACACATAGCTGTGCGTTGTAGACAAGTATTTCTTCAAATGTCAATTGAAGTTCAGAAAAATGAGAAAATATTGAAAAAAAATATTACTTTAGTAACTTCTATGACACGATACATCACATCCATGTCTGATTTTCCTGCAAAAAAAGCCATAGATTGGCGTAAATTCAGATGTGTTCAGATGTGACAAGTAAATCAATACAAGTAATGGCTAGCAGGCAGACCTCTTCCATAGAAAATAGAATGGGGGTTTAGCAGTTCAAACACACTCAAATTGGAGGGATGGGCTGTAATGCAACATATATGTCTGGTGTACATTCACGGGGTCATTACTGTTACGGGGTACTTTAATGTTCAAGGGTTATTTACCCTAAACAGACCCCCAACCTTATCCCAACCCTATCTTCATCCAATCCCTTTGGGATTTCCTAGATTTCCTTGTGCCACGTGGCCAGGCCCCTGTCAAATGATATATATGTGTGATACATATAGGTAGGCTGTAGTGGGGTAGATGTTATAGGGGATAACCCCTTAGGGTTTTCCTACTTGTAAAATTTCTCTCGATAGTGAACACCACCTTGCCTAGCTATTCTAACATGGCATCTAGAGCAATGGTCCTAAGGACCTAAGATTGGGGCCCACCTACTCATGAGTTACTTTCCCTACAGCTATACCTACGTGCCTACCTTGCCTGCTGCCCGCGCGCGCCTCGGCTGCATGCGCGCGTGCATTTTTTTTTTAGCGCGCCCCGCTGCCTTAGCCGCCCGCGTGCTCGCTGCTGTCACGCGCAGCTCGGCGCCGCGCGCAGCCCGCCGCCACGCGCGACCCGCCGCCGCGTGCAGCCAGTAGCCACGCGCAGCCCGCAGCCGCGCGCAGCCCGTCGCCGCGCGCAGCCCGCAGCCGCGTGCAGTCCGTCGCCGCGCGCAGCCCGCTGCCGCGCGCAGCCCGCAGCAGCGCGTGCCCTGCCCTGCCTGTGCGCCACTGCCTCGACCTGAGCGCTTAGCCGCCCGTGAGTCGTGCGCTTGCCTGCCTTACGCGCGGCCTGTCACAGAACTGCGTGCTTCCTTACCTGCTACAGTTGCCTGCTGCCTGAGCCTGCTGCCTGAACCTGCAGTCTTTGCCTGCTGCCTGAGCCTGCTGCCTGAACCTGCTGCCTGAGCCTGCTGCCTGAGCCTGCTGCCTGAGCCTGCTACCTGAGCCTGCTGCCTGAGCCTGCTGCCTGAGCCTGCTACTTTTGCCTGCGCTACAACCATGGCGACCCTTACTGTTCTCGCCTTTGAGCCTGACGGCCGCCCCATCGAGTTTGACACCTGGCTTAGTGACCTGCGCCTTTACCTTATGACTGACGTCGCAGACGGAGTGTCACTGCTAGCCTATGTGACCGGCACTGTCCCTACTCCTGCTGAGACTGCTCCTGCCCCTGAACGAGCACAGTGGGAGCTCCGCGATGCTGTCGCGCGCCTTGTTATTCGCAATCACCTACCGATCTCTGAGCGCGCGCATTTCAACCAGCTTAAGACTGCTAAGACGCTGTATGATGCTGTCGTTGCCCGCTATTCCGCCCCGACCACAGCCACCGTTGGTAGTCTCATCCTGCCTTACCTGTTCCCAGACTTAGCCTCGTTTCACACTGCTGCCGACCTTATCACTCACCTCCGCGCTAGTGACGCCCGCTTTCGAGCCGCTCTTACCAACGAGTTCCTCGCCACGAACACCCCCCCGCTGTACTTCACCCTCTACATCCTCGTCACCCGCCTCCCTGACACTCTTCGCTCTGTCAGGGATTACTTCCTTGCCAAGGATCCTCCAACTATCACTCTGGACGACTTCGAGCAGCAGCTGGTCGCAGCAGAGAAGAACATCCTCGCTGTCGGTGCTGCTCGTGGCACTCCCCGCACTCCCCTCTTTGAGGGGTGCTCCCCCTCCCCTCTTGACCCCTCCTACGCCTCTGCTGCTACTGCTGTCGACTTCCTCGGTGCGGAGAAGGTCGCAGCGGCTTCCGCTCCTGGTGGGAAGCGTGGTGGTGGCAGGGGCGGCAAGGGTGGCAGGGGTGGCGGAGGTGGCGGTGGAGGGAGCGGTGGTGGAGGCGGCGGGGGTGGTGGAGGTGGTGGGGGTGGCCGTGGGGGTGGAGGCGGTGGGTGGGGTGGCGGCAGGACCGGGGGCGGTGGAGGCGGCGGCGGCGGTGGTGGGGGAGGAGGCAGCGGCAGTGGCGGTGGAGGTGGGAGTGGGGGTGGATCTGGCCAGAAGGGTGGCCAGCAGCAGCAGCAGCAGCAACAGCCACAGCAGCAGCAGCAGCTTCCTCCCCTCACCTCCCAGCAGCTCAATGACTGGTATGCTGGGCGTGGGGCGTCTCGGGGTTCTGACCGCTGCCCCTATGTCATTCGTACTGGCCCCCGCAAGGGTCGCCCCTGCAACGGTTTTCACACTGAGTATCGTTGTTTTGCTAGGCTTAGTGACGCCTGGCGTACTAAGTATCCTGATGCTACTGAGTTCCCCAACTGGGCAGAGCTGCTTAGGCGTGATGTGCCTATCTTTGATCTGGACTATGATGTTATTCTTGCTGCCATGTATGCATTGACTGTTAGTGCTGAGGGTGACTGCTACTTGTGTGTGCCGCCTGACCCTGGTATTGACCCCGGTATAAGGGCTGCAGCCCTAGGTGCTAGTGAGTCTGCTCCCCTTGGTACTGAGTCGGCTCAGGCCTTGCACACGTTTACACTTGACTTTGGTGCTTCCCGCTGTTTCTTTCGCGATAGCACCACCGTCACTCCCCTCCCTGCACCTGTCCCTGTCTCCCTGGCTGACCCCTCTGGGGGCCCAGTGCTTGCACGAGCCACGACTGTGCTCCCGTGCCCGGCGGTCCCGTCTGGTGAGCTGTCAGGTCTCCACGTTCCCTCGTTCTCTACGAACCTGGTGAGCAACGCCGTCCTCCAGGATCACTGGGTTGACACCTGGACTCCTGGAGGGCAGCGTGTGGCGATCTGCACGTGCTCCAAGACTGGCCGCCACCTGGCCACGTTCACTCGTGAGCCGGGGTCCAGTCTGTACACCCTCACCACTGTTTCACGCTCCGCTCCTTTGTCTCCGCAGCTGTACGCGTCTGCTCAGGTAGCTACCCAGTGTGAGTGCCGCCGCCTGTCGCACGACACGCTCCTGTGGCACCACCGCCTTGGTCACCCCTCCCTGCCTCGCCTTCGTAGCATGCACTCTCGCTCTCTGGTCTCTGGGCTTCCCAGGTCTCTGCCTGCCCTCCCTCCCTCGCCTGCGCCGCCCTGCATTCCCTGCGTCGAGGGGCGGCAGCGCGCCGCTCCTCACTCCTCCTCGTTTCCTCCCACAGAGGCTCCCCTGCAGACGCTTCACCTGGACGTGTGGGGCCCAGCCCGCGTCCAGGGACAGGGCCGTGAGCGGTACTTTCTGCTGGTTGTCGACGACTTCACGCGTTACACCACGGTCTTCCCCTTGCGCAGCAAGGGAGACGTCCCTGCTGTTTTGATCCCCTGGATCCGCGCTGTGCGTCTCCAGCTCCGCGAGCGGTTCGAGCGGGACTTTCCTGTCCTGCGTCTGCACTCTGACAGAGGTGGTGAGTTCTCCTCTGACCTCTTGGCAGCCTTCTGTGCGGAGCACGGCATCACCCAGTCGTTCACGCTTCCGGCCTCTCCGCAGCAGAATGGGGTTGCTGAGCGCCGCATTGGCTTAGTCATGGAGGTCGCTCGTACCTCCATGATCCATGCGGCGGCTCCCCATTTTCTGTGGCCGTTTGCGGTCCGGTACGCCGCGCATCAGCTCAACCTCTGGCCCCGTGTCTCCTTGCCGGAGACCTCGCCCACACTGCTGTGGACGGGGGAGGTTGGCGATGCGTCGCGTTTCCGGGTCTGGGGTGCTCGTGCCTTTGTCCGCGATCTCACCGCGGACAAGCTCTCTGCTCGCGCCATTCCCTGCGTCTTCCTTGGTTTTCCTCCTGACGCGCCTGGCTGGCAGTTTTACGACCCCACCTCGCGCCGTGTCTTTGCGTCTCAGGACGTCACCTTTGACGAGTCTGTTCCCTTCTACCGTCTCTTTCCCTACCGCACTGTCTCTCGCCCCCCCCCGCCGCTCTTTCTCGCTCCAGGTCCTCCCCAGGTAGACCCCCTCCCCGCGCCAGGTCCTGCTCCTTCAGGTGTTTCTCAGGTAGACCCTCCGGTACCTGCGCCTGTTGAGGTCACTGGTGACTCAGGTCCTGCTGGAGGTGGTCCTGCTCGGGGTGCTGTCTCTGGGGGTGCTGAGCCTGGGGGTGCGGAGCCTGAGCGAGAGGCGCCTAGAGGTGCTGAGCCTGGGGGTGCGGAGTCTGGGGATGCCGTGCCTGCGCGTGAGGAGCCTGGCGGTGCTGAGCTTGGGGGTGTCGAGTCTGAGGGTGCTGTGCCTGCGCGTGAGGAGCCTGGAGGTGCTGAGCTTGCGGGTGCCGAGTCTGCGGGTACTGAGCCTACGCGTGAGGAGCCTGGGGGTGCTGGCGCTGGAGGTTCTGGAGCAGCTGGGGGTGCTGGCGCTGAGGGTTCTGAGTCTGCTGTTGCGCGGTCTCCTTGGAGTAGCCGCCTTCGTCCACGTGTGCCTCTCACCCCACAGCAGCTGCAGGACTGGTACGGTCACCGTCAGCGTCGCGC